ATGTGTCCATGGTCACTTTTGTAGTTACTGTAATCATCATTTTTTAGCTCAATGCTGTGATGTATCTATGGTCAAAAACAGAACAAAAATGGAAGTAATGCCTATAATGAATATGCACCTCGCTTGCATTTCTGGTGGGACTGGAGATTTGGGAAATTGTTTATTCATTCAATCATCAAATGTGGGATCAAACTTAGTTAAAGCGTGGTGGTCGTTGCGCAGCACGTGTTCGAATTTCAGGTAACTAAACAATGTATTTTGTACGCGTTGTATACGTCGCTATGAGTCCCATATCGAACAGGACGTGGCATGACGACCACCGCCCTTTAAAAGAAAAAAATGCAATGGCATTTCATTAGCTATGGAAAAATGCATGTCAACCACTATTTTAGAAATGTCTGTTGATTATTATATTTACAGTGGAATAGCAAGCAGCTTTGTAAACAAATGAAATTTGTAACCACCGGGCTGTTTGTGTTCGTTGTTATTATATACTTTAAATGCATTTCAACTTGGCTCTTTGCTGAACGAGAGGTGTCCAGACCTGTCAGTTGGTATTAACTTGACATTGTCAGTGTATTTATTGAACTGTGAATTATTTGTTTATTTGTGTATTGAACTTGGTGTGACCTGTCATTGTCAATGTTTTGAACTTAGTGTGACCTGTCATTTTCAATGTATTGAACTTAGTGTGACCTGTCATTGTCAATGTATTGAACTTGGTGTGACCTGTCATTTTCAATGTATTGAACTTAGTGTGACCTGTCATTTTCAATGTATTGAACTTAGTGTGACCTGTCATTATCCATGTATTGAACTTAGTGTGACCTGTCATTTTCAATGTATTGAACTTGGTGTGACCTGTCATTTTCAATGTATTGAACTTGGTGTGACCTGTCATTTTCAATGTATTGAACTTGGTGTGACCTGTCATTTTCAATGTATTGAACTTGGTGTGACCTGTCATTGTCAATGTGTTGAACTTGGTGTGACCTGTCATTTTCAATGTTTTGAACTTAGTGTGACCTGTCATTGTCCATGTATTGAACTTAGTGTGACCTGTCATTGTCAATGTTTTGAACTTAGTGTGACCTGTCATTTTCAATGTATTGAACTTGGTGTGACCTGTCATTTTCAATGTATTGAACTTAGTGTGACCTGTCATTTTCAATGTATTGAACTTAGTGTGACCTGTCATTGTCCATGTATTGAACTTAGTGTGACCTGTCATTGTCAATGTTTTGAACTTAGTGTGACCTGTCATTTTCAATGTATTGAACTTGGTGTGACCTGTCATTGTCAATGTTTTGAACTTAGTGTGACCTGTCATTGTCAATGTATTGAACTTGGTGTGACCTGTCATTGTTACTCCTGGCAGTGTGTTGCCTGGTCAGCATGTTTGTGTTAAATCCATCAGCATCAATGTAGATACCTGATTTACTCTTTACAAGTACATCTCTATTGGAAACAACTTTACATTTACTGTTTACTGGATCATTAAAATAGGACTTATTTTGATCGTACATGCTCCTTTGTCACTTGAGTACTTTGAGTAAAATAAATACAGTACATCTCATCATTTCAAAAACATTGTTAAATATCGTTTCAGGAAGCAGATGTTGTAAGGTTTGAAATGGATGAAGAGAAGTTGACAAATATGATAAGTAGTTTAGAGGAGATTGAAAAACAGATCAGTTCACATTGCCAATAGTTGGTCATCTTGATACTCTGGTATTGGCATGGCAACAAACACATCAGGCAGACCAGAACATTATCCTGAATCTTGATGAACTTCACAATTCATGAGTAAAAACTCTTGATGTGGCTCTAAAAGTCATGTCAATGGAGTTAATGTCACAGCAAATTAAACATGCCATAAATTGTTATGTATAGAATAAAGCTGGAATTCTGAGCCCGACCCAAGATGTTGAAGCCACAGCCTGAGAGATTTTATTCTGGAAAGCACTTTGTATTCCTGAAGTGTCCAAGGATAAGATGTATTTTTGTCACCTCAAACATTTGATGGCATTCAGTGATCTTGTCAATACTCACCTGAATTATATTCTGGAGAAATAGCACTTACCGAGTATGCCCCAATTTTCAAATGGGACATGATATAAAACTCCAAGACCTTTTATGGCATTATTATGTATTATACATGTATACAAATCTTTTATATTTCAGAATTGTTATCATGTTTACATTGTAGCAATTTGTAGCTATTGCATGATGATCAACTCATGAATATGTATTAGCCTGAAGCTAATCACCCAATATTAATCAAGGGACAGCATGTGTATCTAACT